TTGTCGTGTTATGTTGAGCCACCCTCAGTCAGTCTGGCATTGGGTAATGCCCAAATTGAATACATTATTATTTCAGATCTACTACTTTGGAATTGTACTGATGGCCACTGAGCAAAATTAATAAAGTACACCTATTCTGTTTGTTCTACCTTGAAAGGCAAAACATTGCAATTACATAGATGTATATGATACAAGGCAGCCCTAGGCTGAATTTGTCAAAGCATTGTATAAACTTGAGACTCCTGTTCAGTTTATTAAGCTGAGTGCTATTTGAACCCATACTGAAAGAATTGGTACCCAACTTCCGAAGTTCATATTCTATACATCTTTTGCCTGTTCAACTGGATGGCTGCCAGCAGAAAATCTTATTTCCCCTTTTTATTTTATGCAATGCTTTTTGTTTAATACTGTATTGTAAAACTTGTTTTCATGGCAATCACTATATTATGTAAAAAAAAAGGGGGATTTAGGTACATTGTTCTTTGATAGTACAGGTAGTCCTCAACTTACAAGAGTTCATTTAGTGACCATTCAAAGTTACAACGGCACTGAAAAAAGTGACTTGTCTGTTTTCACACTTAAGACCACCAGCACTCCCATGGTCACGTGATCAAAATTCAGATGCTTGGCAACTGGCATGTATTTATGACAGTTGCAGTGTCCCGGGGTCATGCGATCAGCTTTTGTGACCTTATGACAATCAAAACCAATGGGGAAGCCAGATTCACTTAATAACCGTTACTGACTTAACAACTGATCAAAATTCAGATGCTTGGCAACTGGCATGTATTTATGACAGTTGCAGTGTCCCGGGGTCATGCGATCAGCTTTTGTGACCTTATGACAATCAAAACCAATGGGGAAGCCGTGATTCACTTAACAACTGTGGCAAGAAAGTCGTAAAATGGGGCAACACTCACTTAACAAATGTTTCACTTAACAACAGACATTTTGGGCTCAATTGTGGTCGTGAGTCTAGGACAGGGGTAGTGAACCTTGGCTCTTTTATGACTCGTGGACTTCAATTCCCAGAATTCCTGAGCCAGCTTAGCTGGCTCAGGAATTCTGGGAGTTGAAGTCCACGAGTCATAAAAGAGCCAAGGTTCACTACCCCTGGTCTAGGACTACCTTGTAGAGACTTTGGCTCTACTATCAACGCTCACACGCCTTTGCCACGAAGCGGCGCTTCCTTCCGCCTTTAGGCTCTAGACCATGACTAAGAAAGCCGCAAGGTTTCCCACCCAACTCGCTCTCGCCTGGGCGGAAATTAAGCGAAAGCAACAGGAAGCCGCCGGCTTTTTTTTTGGATTAAAAAAAAAAAAAAGCACGGAAAAGCGAGCCGGGTAGAAAGAGCCGAGCCGGCCTTTTTTTTTTTTTCCAGCCTCCCGGGCGCGAGGGCGCGCGAGCCGTTGGCCGGGCCTCTTTGTTGCGCGTGCGCAGGACGGTAGCGGAAGCCGGCGGTGCGGCGCCGAATCTCGCGCGCGGGGTCCGCGGGGCCTCCCGTCGGTGAGTAAGCGACGCGAGAGTGACGCCAAGCGCCGGGAGGCAACGCTGCCGCTCGGATGGGGCTGGTGGGCAGCGGGAGGGACGGTGGGCGGCGGGGTGGAAAAGGAGGGAGCCGGATGAGCCAGGGACCCTGCCTGCCTGCCTGCCTGCCTTGCCCGTTTCCCTTCCGCCTTTTCTGGCAGGAACGCTCCGCGCCCACTTTCCCTTGTCGCGAGGCGCTTCGGCGCAGCTCCTTGCAAAAAGCTTGGGGTTGCGGAGTGCTGGAGGAACAGCGGCTCCCTTCTATGGCTGCCAAGACTTCTCTTGCTTAGAAATGAGCAAGCGGGGGGGTTCAGGAGGATGGTCCAGTGCTTCGTTTGGAAGAGGTTCTTCGCAAAGTGTGTGGGGTGTGTGCATGTGTGTGAAGGTACTGTAGTATTTGCCTGTGGCTCCTTAAAATGCCCCTATCCAGAATCGCAGGGATGTGATGAAAGCCTTGCCCTGGTAGCAGTGAGATCTTGTCCAACGGGCATAGCTGCTTTAATGAGACAGTCCACATCCCCACACGTGCATTGCCCTTCTCTTCTGCTGTCCTTGATCCAACCAAGAAATCAATCTGTTTGCGATAGTGGAGAATATCTGTAGCTGGGGTGAAGGGTGAGGATGGAGGTTTGTTCTCCGACCCACAATCTCGGAGAACGAACCCCCACTCTCAAATCAATCTGTCCTAAAATATGCAGATCGCCCCCTCCCCCCAAGCACCCAGAAAGGGTCAGTGTTGCTGTCAATACAGCTTACGTGCATAAATTCCTAAGGGCTGTAAATGGGTTGCTTGGCTTGACTTGACTGGAATTACAGTCATGAACATCATTCACCACATGAAAAGCCTCTGCAGATAGGCATACGCAACGTTCTGCTTGTTCTATTAGTTTAATTTGGTTTTCCCCATAGGCTGATTAAATTTTTATCTCTTGAAATGATGGGGCAACCAGTTCAACCTGTCAACCATTTAAGAAGAAGCAAAAAGAGTATCTTAATTTGGTATTTAAGAAAGGATTTACCTGAGAAAGCCGTAAACTACCCAAGAACATTAAGTGAGGAACCATGGTTCCTCCCAGCGGTGGCCACTAGGAAAGAAATTCCCTGCGAGGCAGGGTATGGATGTACCACGGACAAATCCTTTCAGCTTTACTTCCAGTTATATATCTAAAGCCAGTATCAGCCCTTTAAGGTAGCCCATCTTAGGAAACAGATTCCACAAGGACTACTAGAACCTTACTTTATTGTTGCAAAATATAATAGCAGAATCTTGACAGCCTGATGAAGATTCTCTCTCCCTGCTCTTATACCAAAGTAAGGCAAGGCGATCTTGAAGTTTTTTTTCTCACTCCTTCCAGAGGGCTAAGCTAGTGTTTGTGTAACTGCTGTTGAATTTCTTCTTCAAGGGCAACTCCATGTTCCTCTTCACCAATGGCTACTCAGTTGGGCTTTGCACTCTATGTCAACTGGTGGAACTATGGCATGATTTTAAAAAGTGACTATGAAAGTCAGGATCTGGTCTCCTTCATAGCCAAAAGAGGATCAAGAGGGCAAGAGAATAAGTCAGGAGCTGGATGAAAAGGGGTATTCTAACAGGAAACTGGCAGGATCAGTTGGAACCACAAGTTTGCCTACTCATCATTCGAATCTCCTCCTCCATGCATATCAACATAACCAGCATTGCTGACATGCCATATCTGGAGGGAAGAGGGAAAACGCAGCTTCCAGAGCAGAACACCTAAAGCTGTCTTCAGGCTGCCTGGCTTGTGAGTGGAGAAAAAGGCAATGGCCTGTAGATTTCTAGTTTGGAAAGAGTTAGTGAATCTTTTTCATAGCAGGCATATTAAGCCAAAATTAATAGACATTTTGTCATGCAATCTTTAACCTTTTTCTTCTGTTTCAGATCTTAACAAAAGTTTACCATTTGTACATAATTCAATGTCAGTTTCTGTTTGGTTTTTCAATTCCAATTATCTTTTTATCCATATCAAACCTTTCTTTTAACTGAGTGTATGAAAACGGTTGAAAACAATACTTCTTCAGTCAGTTGTTGTCTTGACTTTATATAAAATTATCCCTCCTCCTGTATTAATAAGTCTTGATATGATAGGCGGTTTTCCTATCTGCTGTTTCAGATCTGGACGCTTCTAATAGAACCTTTGTATCAAAGAGTTGTTCTGCAAAGTCTAATTATATAAATTCCTAGATAGATATTGATTAGAATTATGGATCAGATTATGCCAACCTGGATTATTCTGTAGCTTCCAAGAGCCAAGGATGTTAGTGGCTAATAGTTACATATATTAATCTTCCCATGTTTACTCCTCTAGGTCTTTACTGATCATTTTATTGCAGAAAACCTGCTCCAGTTCTTAGCTATTGCCTCTCTAATAGCAAAGTGAAACTTTTGATAATTAAGTACAAAAATGCTGTATGACCACTAGATATGGCTAGATACACCCTCAGTGAAGTAATTTTTCTTCTCGTGTATGTTTTCAGAATGTTACTTGTTTTATGCAATTTCTCATTTATTTGCTGAACTTTTCTTGGCAAAGAAAAACTTGCCTTATCTTTTTTGAATTTGAACATTTCCCATAGAGCGTTCTGTATCTGTACATGGAAATCAGAGCTTCACTTAACACATTTTCTGTAACTATGCATTTTTTGTTGGAGCAGATTCTGTAAAAAAAAAAACTATGCAGGAGTTGAGAATAAATATTTTGCAATACAGTTAATGTTTGCAATTTAATTAAGCTTCTGAGCTGCTAAGAATCTCAGGCAAGAAGTGAAAAGCAAAAGGGGAAGAAGTAGAGGAAAAAAATAACATGTTCAAGCTAGTTTGCATATAATTTCAATTTTGAATAGAATATGGAGCAAACTGCCGACAAGCAGTGAGTCCTGTGACGTGCAGAGTATCACTGTGAAAATACTTCAATTCAAATAAGAAATTATAACCATTCCTACATTATTTTGTTCCGATTACATTGACAGATTAGGTGGAAATCAAGATAGTTACTCTCCTACAGAATGTTGCATTAGCTAAATTCTCTGCAAGTCATTTCTATAATACCCAGAATTCCCAGCCAACAAAGTTAATATTTTTCTGGTTGAGAGTTATGGGAGATGTCATTTCAGCACATCCAGAACTCTAGAGTAGTTTTATTATAGAATGATTGGAATTACAACTGCACAGTAATTGTAATCGGTTATTTTCTGTTACCGATGAAAAATGGAAGAGTTTAGAGGAATAAAAACAACATTTTGAAGGACTCTATCTCAAGGCTTTGAATACTTTTCAGCTGTTATTCACCATGTACATCAGACCATTGAGTAAAATTATTAAAGATTAATTATTAATTTTCTTTCAAAATTGTTTCTTTTTTACATGTCACTTAGATGAGTCTGTAAAAGTGCTGAATCAGTACCTGGAACCAGTAATGGGCTGGATGAGAGCCAGGAGATTAAAGTTTAATTTCGACACATTGAAGATTCTGTAGGTATGTGGCTTCTCTATTCAGAGAATTGAAATTTAACCTATTCTTTGTTGGGATCCATTTCATAGTTTTCAGGAAGGCACACTGTTCTAGTTTTGACCAATATTGTCTTATGACATCATGTCATGTACCTCTTAGGATAGTGGACCAATTACATTCTCTTTTGGCTGGAAATGGGTTGACTGTGGTTATCCACAGCTTCAAAATAAACAGGACATGTCTTATGCGATATACAAAGCATGTGAAGCTCTCTTTGAAGATTTTGAAATTACACTTTATAGCTGAGCTGTTCCATTGTTTACTAAAATGTTGATTTCTGCACATAATTTAGAGTCTTTGAGTGGTTTTGAATTTGTTAATTTGAAAGACCGTACATTGAAGTAACAGACGGAATCTTATCACAGAGAAATCCAATGGAATTAAGGAGAAATTTCCTGTCAGAGAGAACGATCAGAGAAATGACTTGCCTCCACAAGTTGTAGATGCTCCATCATGGAAGTTTTTAAGAAGAGACTGGACAGCCATTTGTTTGGAATGGTATAGGGTCTCCTGCTTGAGCAGGGAGTTGCTCAAGGTCCCTTCCAACTGTTCTGTAATTCTGAAGACATATTGGAGGAAGCCACACCATTAATGGCAGGACTGGGGATTTTAAAGACTTGGTCTTCTTGACAGAAATGCCCCATCTTTAAAATTGTTGTCTGAGGAAGGTTTGTCTGCATCTACCCTGTTGTCTTTCTGGGAACAAGACATAATTCTTCCCTACTTCTGCCTGCTGCTTTTTTAATTATTTAATTATATTGTTTTCATTTTTGTGGAAGCAAATCTGGATTGAAAGGTTGTATAGATTTCCCTAAATATAAAAAGAAAAATCAAAGAAGTATAAAGTTAGGGTAAATTAGAAGTGGAGACTTGAAAATCATTTAAATAAAGAATTAAGAATTACAGTTTGGTCTGGGCCTGTGATTACAGATAGTCCTTGACTTACAACTGGTTGCTTAACAACTGTTTGAATTTATGACAGATATGGAAAAAAAAGTTACAACCTATACTCAAATATATGACTGCTATACCACATGATTGCATTTCAGATGCTTGGCTTGCATTTATGACTGGTTGCAACATCCCACAGAACATGTGATCAGCAAAAAATGTCAAAAAATGCCCATTGGATAAGCTGGAATTGGACTTAAGACCACATGATTTGCTTAATGATAGTGGTGACTTGCTTTACAACCAGTCTCAGTTGTGATCGTAAGTCGAGGACTACCTGTATTTCAGTCCAGCATAACTCCAGATTGGAGGCACTTCAAAAAATTCATAAATTTGCAGATATTATGATTAGGTGTTTTGATTATTCACATTGCTAATCTAATTCTAATTGCAATTCTTTTCTCCTTTAGGCTGATTTTCCCCTTCCAGTGTGGGACAAACTCATCAGATTATGTACAATGGGACTACGAATTCATTTTGTTGTTGACCCTCAGGGCTGGTTCTGTATGGGCCTATTAATCTTTGTCTGGTTTTACAATAGTCTCTTCATTCCAAAAGTTATCCTTTTTCCTCATTATGAAGAAGGACATATATCTGCAGCTGCTATACTATGTAAGTCAAGTTTGTCATTTTCTTCATTCTATCCAATTCTTACATAGAAATAGAATAGGCATCTAGATACTTTCCGTGCGATTCTGCTTGATGGTTTGGTATTGCTTCTTCTTTAATATTTGTCTTTTATATGACAAGCATGAGGTAGAGTGCCTTTGAACTTTCAAAAATGTATATACAATTCTTCTCTGTAAATTCCATAATACTGTTAATTAAAGTTTTCTGAATGGAAATGTATCTGTTTTTCAGGCTACTGTCTATTTTCATTGTTCTGTATTGTCATATTGTTAAGAGCTTCAGTAGCAGATCCAGGGAGATTACCTGAAAACCCAAAGATACCAATTACAGGTAAAGCTTATATCAACATGACTGAAGTTGTATGCTTTAAATTAAGTCACATGCCCAAAATCATGATCCATGTTTTGATCTGTTTCATGGTTGGAAACTGTCTTGGCTGCCTAAAGTCTATAAGGAATTGATACCATTGATCCTCTGAATCTCTCAGCATCTTTTCATATCCTCAGTCATTTTATGCATTTTGACTTATATGCAGGTAGCCCTTGACTTACAACCATTCCTTTAGTGACTGTTCAAAGTTACAACAGCACTGAAAAAAAGATGGCTGGTTTTGACATGACTGTTGCAGCATCCCCATCATCACATGATCAAAATTTGGGCACTTGGAAACTGCATGTATTTATATTAGGTGCCCTGTCCTGGGATCACGTGATCACTATTTGTAACCTTCCCAGCGGGCTTCGGACAAGCAAAATCATTGGGGGAAGCCAGATTTGCTTAATGATGGCACAATTCACTTAATGGGTACAGTGATTTGCTCAACAACTCTGGCAAAAAAAAGATTGTAAACTGGGACAAAGCTCACTTTAAAAACTGCTTTGCTTAGCAACAGAAATTTGGGGTTCAATTGTGGTCATACGTCAAGGACTACTATACACACCATCCAGTGAATTACTGGCTGAAAGAGAAAGAGCTGAGTGAAGAGCTTGATGGGATTCTAGAAAAGACCTTGAAAGGATATTGCTGAAATTGGAGCTTGCAAATGAGGCTGGGGATAGTGGGGTGGGCAGGGCAGTTGCCTGCCGGCCAAAAATTCCCCAGCCCTGATTCCTATTTAGGGGATTGTCAGAAGATTTGGAGTGCAATGCAACTGTAATGTTTATCAATAATTTCTTTTGTTTATCTGTCTCCTGTTTTTTCTGTCAATGTTGATATTCAAGGAAGTAAGATAACCTTATGAACTAGTTCTAAAAATGAGGTTTTTTAAAAAATCAGAACATCCTAATAGTCTCAAATTAGCCTAGAGAACAGCCATCTAAAGGGACAATGTTCTCCTGTCACGCAAGAGCCATCTTCCAACTACAAAGAGAAGAAGGCGTCTTTAAAACGTAATCGTCGATGCTATATTATAAAGTTGACTAGATGTCCCAGCACATGGGAATGAGAAAACTAACCATTCCTCCTTGCCTTTCTCCATGCAGTGGAAGTTTCATTGCTGGATGATTGGGAAGTGGGGGGGAAAAATGAGGAAAAGATGGTTAATTCTTTCTTCTATTGGCAACAGTGGACACTCATAACTATGGACAATATATTTGATGAGGGAGGGAGGGAGGGAGGGAGGGGGAGGGAGGGAGAGAGAGAGAGAGAATGAATTAGGACTGAGATCCCTAGAGATATTTGAATCAAGTGTTGAAGCAACATTAAACAGAAGAGGCGGTACATTATAATTAAGATAAGTGTCTAGAGAAATTCCATGTGTTTATTGCATGCAAATGGAAGAACCTTAGATTATATTGTAGATTTTGTTGAATTATATTAATGTAATCTGGGGAAGGTTCCTTTTTTTTGGGGGGGGGAGTGCAAATATACCCAATATTCCAGAAGCAAAGATATCTCTTTGCTTCTTTAGCATTATACACACTTGTATGGTCAGATGCATTTATTCCCTGCTTTTAAATTACATTGTGGAACTCGCCTTCTGTTAATGGTAGCTCTCTTATTAAAGAGTAACACCTTTGTGACATTGGCTTTATGAGAACAGACTGAAAATCAGTTTCCCATCTGGCATTATTGCTAGTTTAATGATCTTGAATATTATATTTCCAAACTGCCAATGTGCAAGTATGTCATTTTTCACCAAGTTGAGAAATATGGCAACTCACAGAAAACTTAAAATCAATCTGTATAAATAAAATTTAAAAAATGGATTATTCACGAAAAATGTAATTTTATGGAAGTACTAGGTATAACATACATATAAGAAATATTTAGCTGTGTCAGTGTTATTTTGTTTAAGTTTCTGTTTCAAAAATAGCTTTAACATTATTGTAGTGTGCTCAGATATAAAAATAAAACCACGCTGTTTTCTTCATAAAGCAAATATGAGTATCATAGCTTGCATCTAAAGGTTTTTTTGTGCGGAATTAAATGCATCCTTAAAAATAAAATTAATTTTAAAATATCTGCACAGATAAATATTGGGAGCAGTTAGACGTACCTAAATATATTTGAATTTGAATGGGCTATGTACAAGTTCTAAAGATTTAATTTAAATTCTGAGGTTTACTTGGATATTATTTTCAGTGTACTTTTATTATGACCCGTGATTCCAGTTTCACTCTCTAGATGGGAAAATCCAATGGTTTTGATTTATTGCAGTAAGGGACATTTTTATATGCTTTCTTCTAAAATCCTGAACATTAGTCCCCACAAGTCTGTGGTTGCTCTTGAAGAGAAACAAGAACTTAGCAACAATTCTGTATTTCTATTAATGTTATCTTTGTGTCTCTCTTTTAGAAAAAGACTCCTGGGAATTATGTAACAAGTGTAACATGATGAGACCAAAGCGTTCCCACCACTGCAGTCGATGTGGGCACTGTGTTAGGAGAATGGATCATCACTGTCCATGGTAAGATGACTTGTCAAGTATGTCATCTAATGTCATCTTTTTTTAATCTAATTTAATTACAGTGACACTGCAAGCTTTTCTAATAATTATAGACTTCTTAATTCTGTAGCATTATGATGTTTCAGGAACCAAAACAATATTAAAGTGAGCGCTTAGTGACAGTTCAACGTTACAACGCAACTAAAAAAAAGTGACTTATGACCATTTTTCACACTCATGACCTTTGCAGCATCCCCATGGTCACGTGATTTATATTTGGATGCTTGACAATCGTGTTTATGACGATTGCAGTGTCCCGGGGGGGTCATGTGATCACCTTTTGCGACCTTCTGACAAGCAAAGTCCATGGGGAAGCCAGATTCACTTAACAACCAAGTTACTAATTTAACAACTGCCGTGGTTCACGTAACGTCTGCGGCAGGAAAAGTCATAAAATGGGGCAAAAATCACTTCACAAATTTCTCACTTAGCAACATAAATGTTGGGCTCAATTGGGGTCATAAATTGAGGACTCCCTGTACTAATTTTGTTTTTAAAAATATGAAATATTGATGTAGCACTGTAAAACCAAGGAACATTCCTATTATATTTCAAAAATAGTTCAGAAGCAAAAGAGTTCTTAACCTTACAAATGCAACATTGGGACTTCTGAGAAAGAAATGGTGAACTGACTGAAGTTAGGACAGTCTGAAAAAGGTGATTTACAATCAGTCCTGGCACTTAGGATTGTCCCAGCATCCATGTGGTCATGGGTTCAGAATTTGGGTGCTTGGCAACTGGCATGTATTTACAATGATTGCAGCATCCTGAGATCATGTGATCAACATTTCCGATCTTCTCTTCCAGCAGGCAAAAACCCAGTTGGGGAAGCTGTGATTTGCTTAATCCTGCCGCAGATTACCCCCCATCGACCTGTACGCTCCCACAGAGTGGGTCTCCTCAGGGTGCCGTCAGCCAGACAGTGCTGGCTGGCGACCCCAAGGGGGAGGGCCTTCTCTGTGGGAGCTCCCACCCTCTGGAATGAACTGCCCCCAGAGATCAGGGTGATCCCTGATCTCCCTTCCTTCCGCCGTGCCCTTAAGACATGGTTATTCCAGCTTGCGGGACTGGCCTAGGGGAAACTTTTAGAGGGGGTTTTAATCATAATTTTAATTCGACCAAATTACTAATATTTCCTTTTTAAGTAATTTTTAAACTTGTAGTGTGTTAGTTTTGTATTTTTATCCAGTTGTTAGCCGCCCTGAGTCCGCAAGGAGAAGGGCGGGATATAAATTTAATAATATAATAATAATAATAATAATAATAATAATAATAATAATAATAATAAAAGGTCTTGGCAAAAAAGATTGGAAAGTGAGGCACGACTTACTTAACAACCGCATTGCTTAGCACTAGAGTAGTTCCAATTGTGGTTGTAAGTCAAGGAGTACTGGCAGATGCTATATAATCATTTTCTGACCTTATTACAAGAAAGATATTCATTCAAGAGCAAAAAGATGCAACTCTGTGAAGATTCCCTGTGTAGTAAACTATTTTATCTTTGTGAAAGATTATAGCTGGTAGAACTAGACCAGTACAAATGATAAAGGCAAAGAGGAAAAATGCAAAGGAAAGTAATGGTAAATGTTTTTCTGTTGCCCCAGTTCTTTCGGTCACTATGGGAAACACGCTTCTCTCCTTAGAGGCCGCCAGCTTGACTCAACAGCTTTAGTGCTGAATGTTACAAACTGTTGACATTCCTATCTCTGTTTACACTGTTTTCTGCAGGATTAACAATTGTGTAGGTGAAGATAATCATTGGCTGTTTTTGCAGTTGTGCTTCTACACAGAACTCCTGAGTTCTTACACACTGCTACTTGATTTCTGCCACTATTACTACTTTGAACCACTAAGAAAAGTTAATGCGGTAAGAGAATCTTCTGCTTGTCAGAGTAGGATAAAAATTGTGTCATTTATGACAAGCCTCAGCAAGATCCAGCCTGTAAAAACATTTAATGTGTTTAACGTATAAATATTAAAAATGAACTTCAATATGCCCACATTACATTCAAAAGCTTGAATACTATAAAAGCTTTTCTTACTTATGAACTAAGAAATATTAGCTTAGTAGGATTGACTATAATTTGCACATTCTGCTGGAATGACTGCAGCAAAGAAGCATTTGGTAAAGGAGTAAAATAATATACATTTCATTTGAAAGTCTGCAGATACTGCAGCTGTTTGTCCAGTAGGAGCAGTATTATCGCAAGATCTCTCTGGAAAGTAATTGTGTACAACACACAGATAGATCCCTTGGTAACTGTCGGAAGTCATTGCAAATGTCAAAATTTCATAAGCTTTCATAGGGAAACAAGAGTTGTTGCAAGACTTAGTTTTTGCTATTATTTTTGCTCAATTTGTATTTTTAAAGTGTATCAGTAGGAGAGCTTCAGGGTATGCATTGCTGTCTCCTGTAGTAAACAATCTGCAGTGGTAAAAAAAATGAGCAGCAAAAAAAAAAGTGAGGGAACAATCCACAATTGCCCAAAGAACCTGCAATTTTGAATTTTGGAGGTATCCCTTTGTGTTTCCTCCTTATCAGAATAACAAGATTAAACTGTTATGTTTTCTTTTACAGGATGTCTTTGTGTTTAGACATGAGCTTGCCCTAATAAGAATATCAACATTCATGGGTTTAATTATGTTAGTTGGAATGACTGGACTCTTTTATATTCAGCTAACTGGTGTATTTAATGTAAGTGTTTAATTCCTTTGAAATATTTTAATGCGTATATTTATGCAGTGCTGAAAGTATATAATCTGTTGTTGTTCTTTAGCTGTTCAGTTGTTTTCAAAACTTTGTAACCCAAAGCTTATCAATTTGACAGATTTGTCTGTCAATAGCACCTTCTTTTGAGTTCTTGTAAGCTCCTACTTGTGTTGTTATTACGCAACAGTATTATCTAAAACATCTTGTTCTGGCCTTTAACTTTTCTAAGCAACAGGGTCTTCTCTAATAACTCTTGCCTACAATAAGTACTATAATCTTTAAGTTTTTGCTTCATTGTAAATGCTTCCTGGAAACAGTTTAGTTGAATTTCATTTTGTTAGATAGCGCCCAATGTTCAAGTCTGTCAAGATCCTTCTGTATTAAGCCTATCTTCTGGAGTGTTGGCTATTCCTGCCAGCTTGGTGTCTGCAAATTTGATGAGTTCCCCATCTATCCCCTCGCCCAAATCAACAAATGATTATAAAAATAAAAACAATTGCTGAAACTAGTTGGATGGCCATATCTCTGAGCTCATACTGCATAATTGGGTGGTAGTATTAAAAATCTCCTTCACTTGCAACTATCATACATCTCTTGATACAGGCACCAAAAGAAGAACTCAGGGATGTATGTAGTAAATACACGTTTGAAGATTTCATCTGTTAGTACCTTGGGCCCAAATTAGGTTGGTGTTAAAGGGTCAAAACAGAGTTGGAAACCAAATTATTGTTGGCAATAATATGTTCATAGTGCTGAGTTCCAGTTACCAATCTCAGAACTTTATTATCGTTTGATGTTTCTGGACCATTTTCAGAGGCAGCCCTGCATTAATAGTAATTCAAATGTGAGTTTCCCAGAGGATGTATTATTGAAGCAGGATGATCCCCATCTAATTAAGATTGTGGCTGGCATAGAAGCTTATGCTAGAAGAAGCTATCCTAATCTATAGGGGCATTTGTGCTCCTAATGATAATTATGGATCATGAGCACTTTTAAATTAAGAGCCCAGGCTTTGAGGAAGACATTTTTCCTTGCAGGACAGGATGGACCATCTCAGTTCAAAATTAACTACCTAGTAATACTGTGTTGTCATAATTTAGTTTCAATTTATTAACATTTATGTAGTCTATTATATGTGACAAAAAAATCAGTGTAGCTCATCCAGTGCGTTTTAGGAGTTTGATGCAAAGGATAAATAGTTGGCTATGCTGAAGGCATAATCTTAAATCCCTAGATCAGAAGATATCAAATTTGGTGGCCATTAACTTGTGCGCACCCTCCAGCCAAATAAAACTTTTTCACTATGCTCTGATATGGTTCCCTCTCTCTTTTTCCAGTCAGAATCGGAGTGTGATTTGGCAGTATTCCTGCTATCTTTCTCAAGCCAGACTAGTGTACCCAAAACTGGACTGTCTCTAGAAGTACTGTAGTGTCTGGGATTCTGGCCTAACCCTAGTCCTAACACTTTTATACTTCCGGCAGCTGTTCCTGAAATATCCCCAACCTATTTTTCATTGCCACCCAAGTGAGTTAATGAGGATTAAAGCTATCTTGTCTAGTCTAACATTCTTTCCCATCCTAGGGTAGTGTGGCTGATTTGGTTTTCTTTTGGGGAGGCCACCATCACACTACAGTAGATTATGGCCCTGAGGCTGAGCTCCAGGTAACCTAAGCACTGCACCTTTTTCTTTTTTCTTTTGGTTAATCTGTGCCCATTGAGATCCCCCTGCCAAGTTTTAAGTGAAATGATTGGGGAAGCACTGATTGTGTTGAAAATTTAGTTGAGTAAAGTAATTTAACTCAAAGATTGTATAATAATACAACTAAAAGATCAATTAGCAGATTAACTATTGGGGTAATCAGACTAGTGCCAATACCAGTGTTTTAGTTCATATACACACTATTTCCTTATTGATCTTTTATCTTGTGTTTCCTTGAACTTTTAATTACTATGTCATATCTGTTGAAGTTCCTTAATCTCTGTAACCATTTTTAGTCCTAATAAAGAAGTATTTGTGCAAGATTTTTGACCTGTGATAACTCCAAATCTATGAAGTTCTATTTAAAATGGAACTTGTTTCCTAATAGAGAGAATTATAATTGGCTATCTAAGGATTACCTAGTTCAGCAGGAGTTGTTGAAAAAAGTAGAAGAATCTACAGTATGTAATCTGAATTTCATGTTTTGGTCCTTTCCAAAGAAATCTTGTTTGGAAACTGGCCAGAACCAGTCGATGGAAGATGAAAGTATCTACAGCACTCATGATTGTTATGACTGGGCAATATTTCAAATTCAAGGGGGCATAGGTCTTTGGAATAGACTATGCAAAGACATTCAGGCATCATCTCCTTAAATGAACTTGGTCCTTCCCAGGACCATACAGCTGCCCTTTGCAAGTGCAAAGGTTTCTGAGAAAAGACATTTCAGTTGAAGGTGCTGCTAACAGGTGCTTCATATGCACACAGAAGCCCTAGAGCAGGGGTGTCAAACTGCTGGCCCGTGGGCCGGTTTCATCATACCGGAGCCACACCCACCCCATTGCTGGCAATGGTGAAAAAGCTCCGATACGTCGCACGACGTCATGTGACGTCGCGAGTTTGACATGCCTGCCCTAGAGGATAAAGGAAGTTTAGCAAAGAGAAGAAATCCTGATCTTGTTATGGGGACATTTTGCTGTTTTTCTAGATCTACTTTTAAGAAAGGGAGTTTGGCCTATCTGATCCATCCCTCTCACTGATAAGGTGATTCTGGGCAGATAACAAGCAGTAAAAAGATAACTATAGAAACAATTACAATTACGCTATATAAAAATTAGAACGAAGGAGACGAATGGCATGGGATTCCAGCGGTGAATGCCCCCCTTGGAGCCCCAAGCCAGTCAGCAAAACCAAGTTTTGATACTCATCCAGAAAGCCAGAAGGGTAGCAGCAGTTCTCGTTTCTGGTGGTAGAATGTTCTGCAGGTCTGGGGTCACAGAGGAAAATGCTCTTCTTCACCCCACTAGCTGGAATTCCTTGGCCGACAAAGTCTGCAGCTGAAGTAGCCTTATGGCTAAATATCACCTACCATTAGCCTGCATCCAAAGTTTAAAAATGCTGTATTCCTGATTCCTTTAAGTGTATTAGAAAGAAAATTAAGTCTTTAACATTTTAAAGCATTAACTAAAAAAGGCCCCCCTTCCTTCTTTGCCTCCATAACTTTTGCTAAAAATATTTTACACTATTTGCCAGTGAGAAGATATGTATATTTTAATGGAAAAAATAACGTGCTTCATTGCTACATGAAAGGAGGCTTTTTTTTTTGCTATTTCTGATTTATATTAAAAGACTTGTATGGAAGGGGAAAAAAACATGTTGTATTTGAAAGGAATCAGCCTTTCTTTGATAATCAGATCTGTTAAACACAGATCTGTACTTATAGGAAACTCTTCTCACCTTGTTTATAAAACAGTAATCATTTTCTCACTAAGACACTACTTGTGATCCCTAGTTGTGATCTGAACTTGGTTCCGGCAGTATATACATGTATAGTACATGTATATTTCCTATGATTGGGGTTGGTATTGTTAACCTCCTGTGACCTGTATTGTATGTATGCAGTGTCTTGTTGAAGGAGTGGTGGATTATTTTTCAGTTGTTATAGCAGTGAGAAATTTGAAATGAGCTCATTTGCTTTTACATAAGTTAAACAGCTGTTAGTGCAATGATAATTTCTTGATATACTTATTTCCACAATTCCTGTACAAAGCTTATCAGCATGGTTCTAATCACTTAGCTGCCAAATTAATTCTAATCACTTATCTGCTGAATTTTTTTAAAAATACAAATCAGTATTTTTAGGTTCTGTTGTTGGCTTTCAGAGCTTAAGTTATCCGAAGTCAACAATAATAAATTAATCTGAATTTAATGATAATTTAACATGCTAAACATGTATTTAATGTATTGTGCAACCAATTTGTATGGTTTATACAATATACTTTTTTAGTTAAAATGAATAAAATATTTAGTATTTTTCCTTTCCTTTTTATTTTCTGACAATTTTGGAGGCAGAAACATTTTGGGTCGATTTATTTTTTTGACTAAATTTTACATTAGATTTTTATTTGGTAAGCCACTTATCTGGAGTGTTTTGTATAAATGAAAAATCCAGGTTATCAGTAACTGCTGAAAATAACAGGATAATCGCTTAAGCAGTGATTCTCTGATGTCATTGTGGGAGGTTAGTAAAAGAGGATTACCATGACCCAGATAAAATAATTAGAAATTACTTGGACACTTACAAATGAATGATTTACTGTTCTAATCTCATTTCCAAAGTTAGAAAAGATCTGTCTCTCAGTATAATACTGCCAGATGTTTTTAGTTGAAATGCATCCTTTGAAGAGACTAATCTGAAGCCTAATTTTAAGGATTATCTTTGATTATTTTTATTTAAAATCTTAAACAGGATCTGTTTTTATTTTCCATATGTTATTGCAAATGATTAACAGAGTTAACAGATTTTTTTAAAAAAAGAATGATAGTCTGGAGCGCATTGTATTTCAGATGTAGATCATGATGTCTAGTTTGGTATTGTTTTGGGGTGCCTTTGAATTAGTCTTTTTGAATTCTTGAATGGCTCAACCAAAGCAAATTGATTTCTTTACACATTTTTATTAAAATAATGGTCAGTTGGACAAGTGTTCTATCCAATGTTATACTTTCAATATAGAAGGGTAGATCTGCATATGGGACATTTGCAGGTGCTGCTGTAATTAGTGAATCCAATCTCCCTGTTATCCTTGGAAAAAGGAAAAGAATATTGTATTGTCTGACACCAGCCATTTTACAGCTGAATTTCGACAAGGCAAACTTGAAGTATGGGCTGAGGAGGGGGTTGCATTTGCAGCCCACAGGTGGCCGATCTGTGAATGGTTTCAATTATATGTCATTTGTACTGTGATTACACTCTGGCTATAATTTTTCAGATATCCTAAAAATAAATACAATTTGTACTCTGAGGCTATCAGCAAACCTCATTTATGCTCTATTAATCCTCTAAGAATAAAGGAGGGCCTAATAGAGGAAGCTTCTGAGAGACAAATTAAATAGGCCTCCAGGAAACTATTTTGTCACTGAATGGCAGCAACATGATTTCCTGCTCTTTAGGGAGAGAAGGATTAAACAGGGCCTAAAATAGATTTGGGAGCTGCCCTAGAAGTCTTCCATTTTCATTTCCTCTCTTAAACTCAACCCCTGTAAACCCAAATTGGGCTGAATAAGTGAGCTTTCCAGCTGATAAGGAGCAAATGGTAGTCTAGAGCAGAGATCCCCAACCTTTTGGGCACCAAGGACCGATTCCGTGGAGAGAGGTTTTTCTGCGGACCGGAGGGTACGTGGTTTTGTGTGCTGTCTGCATCTCACAGATGGGGCTTTGCTTGTTTGTGCGGACCGGTTGCTGGCATGCCGCGGCCAGGTACTGGTCCACAGATCGGGGGCTGGGGACCCCGGTCTAGAGGCCAATAAAATATTCCCCAACCTGTACCAGTAGCTATACGGTTTTCTCATATTGGAAAATTTAGTCTGTCCTTGCACCTGAATTGGTTGGTTGATTACTTTTACCTGCTGCAATTGAGAGACCCATCAGGTGACAGTCATGCCATTAAAAAGCCAAAAGTAAGCAATCAGAAAAAGCCGTTAAGTATAGAATAGCCATCGTAGAAATGAGAAAAGGCAAAGGGGGTCATTTAAGAATGAAGGGCCTCTTAATTCTATTTCATCTTATTTTCTGAAACCTAATAAAGTAGGAACTGAATGGATGTCAAGGGGCAAAGAATCCCCTAATATTGGTCCTGCAACAGAAAAATATTGTTGGGACTCCAACCACCTTCCCTACAGCTTCTCCTGCACATGAGATGGGTTAAAATTGATCAGGGAAGCTGGTTCTAGACTGATTTGTCTGCCTGTGTTATAAATTTGAAACGGTTGGTAAAATTTTCAGATGTCTCATTTTTTTTCTGACCTGAAGATACTATGGATTTGTTAGCATTCTTGTTATTTCATATGAGCTACTTTTATGAGTTATTTAAGATGCCCCTGAGCTACGGTGCCTCCAGCTGTGATCTCCTTAGATGTACTGAGCTAAGTAGGGTCATTCCCGGTCAGTGGCTAGATGTACAGCTATGGGAGAAAGCTTAAACACTACAGGAAATGTTGGCAATTCAGAAAGTGAAACATTTCTTCTGAAGTGTTATTGAATCAATCAATGCCCCGAATAAGGCCTGTTGTTGCTTCCTGACGTCAAGTCAGGGTGGCAAATGTATGCATTTGTCTCTTCTTACAAGAATAGTTTTGACATCTAGATCTAGTCTGAAGGCAATTTTACAATAATGCTCTTTTCTTACTGGGTCAATTAATTTTTGTACAATTCTGAAGAATTGTATTCTTTCCTAAAGTTTGTATTTTTTTAATTGATTCACTTGATGCTTTGTTCTTCCCATAGGTTATGTCATACATGTTGAAAAAGCCATTCTTTTCTTAAGAATCTAGACATCATAAGTAGAAATTTTCATTTTTTTGAGAATTTTTCCTTACCATTCATGATCAGCATTATGGTACATATTCATTCCAGAATTCTCACAATCCAGTGAAGGATGTAAACTGAAGAGGTAGTAAAAAAAAACATTTGGTGTTTGTGAGATGTTCTTTGGGTGAATTTGGATGTTAAATGTTTGATATTGAAAATTTTGACTTCAGGCTAGATGTCTAAGATACAAATATTTGAATATGCCCATGTTTGAATTGTAAGCCCAGTAAATGATGCCTTGTGATTACGTTTCTTTTGATTATGTGGACACAACCAAGCAGTTTACTTGGCAGTTTTAGAGAAGTGCTTTGCCATTGCCTTAATCTGAGGTATGTCTTTTAATTTTCTGGTCTAGATTATAATCATACTGGTTCTCATTCAAATACAAAGTAATCCTATCCTGCTTAGTTTCCAAGTTAAGACACAGACAACCAGATGGCCATGGTTAAAAGACAGGGTTTTTTTTAAAAAAAAATAAATAAGATAATGAAAATTCTTGAAATAAGAAACAGAGAAAACAACCTTGGTTGTTAATGCTGTATTAATATGGTTATAGCACTCTGTATAAAGGAATATTTATACTGAAAGAGAGTCAACAATATCTGCAGTCTGCTTAAATTTTGTTTCTTTAAATAAATACTTTGTTTTTATAAACATGAAAATAAAATAAGAATATCGTTGTAAGTTCATTCATATTCAGCCTTTTCTGGATTTTTTTTTACCTTAGACATTTTTTGTGTTGTTTCTAAATTTATTTTCTCTTTAGCCTTCAGGTTATTTGAATTTATATGATTATTTAAATTAATCAAATAATGTAACTTTCATGACTTTGTATGCTGAATCTTTAGCAAAGCCCACTTCAAAATGAATGTCAGATTTCCCTTCTGCCTGGTAGGATATTTTGAATGTACTCTGACATAACCTTGACTTGAGGAGGTCATCCACAAGCCCAGTTTCATTACCTAAGATACAAAGACAAGTATCTTGTTTCTTTGATGTGGCTGTATTGCTCAGGTTGTGGTTGCCAAACTGCATTCTTTCATATCGGGGAGATTTTTAATTTAATTTAATTGTCCAGTTCAAATAATTAAATGAAGAAAGGATGAGACTAAATGGGTTTGCTCTTATTTCGGTCTGACTTACATTCCCCCCAAAAGGCATACAGTATATGCTATACTATGCAAATTGTTCTTTAAAAAAAAATACGGAATTATTTCTTTATTCAAAGTTTAAATTTAGGATATTTCTAAATTACGGAAAATACCTGAACTAACCCAGTCAAGGACTCACTATTCTCAATATAATATTTGCTAAAATAATGCATGGCACACTATTTTGATAAAGTACAATAAATAAAAGAAATTATTTTGGCCACAGCTCTAAAGATCCTTTATATTCAGACATTTGGAATATTGGATTTCATCATCTGACTGAGTAAGAAACTCACATGAAAACAGATTTGTATTTCTCTTGGGTGGTAAGATTACAGTAAAATTGTAGAAGAAATGTCAGCTTTGTTATCTATATTTGTACTTGTGTCTGTATGTGTGTGGATTACACTGTGTAGAAACAGTGTTACCTTTGTTATCTTTATTTATGTCTGTCTGTGTGTGTAGGCACAGATAGAGAAATAGAGTACCTCACTGTCAATGATACATGAAAAAAAATATATTGTAACATATGTGCTCCTTCTATAGACTTTTGGAAAATAACAGCCTTTGTATGTTTATGATAAGAAATATTTAAGCTATTTTTTTTCTTAAAATAGGACATTACAGGTATAGAAAGACTGGCCAACTGTTGTGAAGAAATGTGAGTATCATTTTGTTTTGTTAAAATCTTTATGGAGCTTGGCAGTAAAATGCACATATGAGAAACACTTACGGCACTAATGAAAGCTTAGCGTACCTTTTTCACAGTGATTCACATGGTGCTTTAATTTAAAAAAAGAAAAGAAAAAAGAAGAAGTTCTATCTGGTTCAGTCAAAACAATGCTTTCAAAGCATGGTCCAGAAAGGGGATTTGTTTTGTTTTGCTCTCTTTTGTTGGCAAACAGTCTGTTGACTATGAGGAACATCTTAGTTCTGCAAGTGCAAATGCAGTTTGTGTTTCTTAAAGTCTCAGCTGCTGCTGCTGCTGAAGGGAAAGGAAAGCTTTGCTTATGGCGGCTCAGATGCAATTCATCAGAGTCAAGTAATGGATCCCCAGCCAACCTGTATTGTTCTAGCTGACTGAAGTGCACCATGGGAGTGCTGTCTTTCACTAATAATGCTGTCGTCTGTAGATCAAGACCTCGAAAGCCATGGCAGCAGACCTTCTCAGAAGTTTTTGGCACTCGCTGGAAGATCCTGTGGTTTATTCCTTTCAGGCGAAGGCGTCCACTGCGTGTTCCCTACCACTTTGCCAATCACGTCTAAACAGATGGAGGGGCAGGCACAGATGGGTTCTCCATGCTGGATGTGTGTTGCAGGTTTTGTGATAATAGAACGATGGCACTCCTAAAGTCAATTAAAATCTACCCACCAATCTTAGACGTCACAACGTGCCCCAGGTCTTTTTTTTTTTTTTTTAATAATGAAGATTTTCATTCTGCCTAGGGATTAAGGCACACTTCTCTGTTTATGTTCAAAGTGTACTTACATTCAGATTAGCATCGCAGAGAAATCACTGCAGGTTCACAATAAAAAACAATGATTGATGTGCAAATGTTACTTTTGTTTTGATAATGCAGTTGATTTTGATAGAAATTCTGTCATCTACACAAATCAACAGGTTTGGAAGTATCTTGACTGGTTTGAATTTCTTTTTTCTTTTTTATCAGTCATACTAGCTGGATTATGTAGAAATGTCTGTTTTCCTATTCATCGGTTTTAATGCCTCCAATGCCTTTTTATTTATGATGCATGATATTAAAATGCAGCTCGTCTCTAGAGAAGACTGGCATTTTAACAGTGTGTTTTTAAAAGGAAGAATCATGTTTGTTTCTATGTCCTCGTGTTTAAAAAAATACGTTGTGTAAAAACAAAACATAAAATCCATTGCTTTTTGAAAGAAAAATAGGTTATAAAATGTGCAATTCTCTCTTCTTTGTACATGCAATAATTAGCCTTAAGTGCTAGCTAGATGTGTCTTAGAAGTATATACTAAGTTTAAAAAAAGCAAAGTTTATGCCATGATCCAGCCAAAGTTAAGCACCTTTTAAATCCTACTTATATTAGTGATACATTTAGTATTTTTTTCATTCTCTCCCAAAAGAACAGGCAAGCTGCTGTGTTGCAATTGGAATAATTGGCAGATCTGTTTTTCTGGGCTTAAGCTGCAGTCCTATACCTATATGTGATTTATTTTGAATAGATATGCATAGGATTCTACTAAGTGCCTAATTTTGGTGCGATTGTGCCTATAAAATTTATCAACATTTACTATATCATATCTACTGAAAACATATACAGTACTGTGTTGTTGTTTCTGTGTACTATGTTTCTTTGTTTTGTACTGTCACCACTAGAAGGATTTAAAATTTAAATTTCATGCGTTCATAGATCGGGTAATATATGTTGGAGATATTTTAACAATAGTATTTATATAGTAAATATAGTTGTTACATTTAGCGTTATCTACTCTCTATTACATTTGCTTGTCAGAAGGTTGCAAAAGGTGATCACATGAACCCGGGACCCTGAAACCGTCATAAATATGAACCAGTTGTCAAGCATCCAAATGTAAATCACATGACCATGGGGATGCTGCAACGGTCCCAAGTGTGAAAAATGGTCATAAGTCGCTTTTTTCAGTGCCATTGTAACTTTGAACTGTCACTAAATGAACTGTTGTAAATCGAGGACTACCTGTATTTGGAGCAGATACATACTGGCTAGTGAGGCAGCCTCAGGAATAGATGCAGTTTCTTTTGAGTTGCTAAGGAGTGTGTCTAGGTATGCTTCAAATCACCTTTTCCCTACAGATCTGGACTGGTGCACAGTTCTGTTCTAGAGCATGGGTCTCCAACCCCCAGTCCGTGGATCGGTACCGGGCCGCGGCATGCCAGCGACTGGTCTGCACAAACAAACAAAGCTCCATAAGCAGGATGCAGGCAGCACACAAAACCACACCTCCACGGAAAAAGCTCCGCGGAAAAAGCTCTCTCCATGTAACCAGTCCCTGGTGCCCCAAAAGTTGGGGACCTCTGTTCTAGAGCATCAATATCAGTTTATGAGTAATAGCACACAGAATAATGACTGATGACAGATGTTAGTTCACTTCATATATAAAAACAGAACAAATTATACTAAACCATTTCTGACAGATGTTTACACTGATTATACATGCATCTGTTAATATAACATTCTGTTCACTTGTTTCAAACAGCTTCCATATCCTCTTTGCTTATGTCTACTTTCCATTCATTCTGATTGGAGATTATCTTTTGTTCTAACACTTTTTCAAAAAAGATAATTAGGTCATCTTTCTGAAATTGGCTAACTTTTATTACTTTCTGAAGATCCATTCTTGACAGTATCAAAAATGGTTTGTTCCACATTCGGAGTCTCTTTTATCATGCCTCTATCCCTCTCAAGCTTTCATCATAAACAATCAAGTCAATCAGGCAACATAAATGGGCATCTATTATCAACTTACAGATCCATACATTTATATGCACAAATAATACCAGTTCATATTTTCTGATATACCGTATATTTTGGCTCATTCATTATTGGAACTACATCTTTATTTTTTTTTAACATATTCTTTAACTCAACAAGTATAAACCTCCTACATTCCCATCTGTTACCTCTTCAGTGTTTCACAGACGTACAACATATTTAGTTTTCTTATGTTTCAGTTGTTAATCCATGCATTTGGGCTTTTATTTCTTTAATGCTCCACATTGTGCTCCTCATCTATTTGTCAAGATTGTCCCCTGATGGGCCTAATAGGTAATAGTCTCTGTTGTCCAACTTTGCTTTGCTTAACTACTCTTTCACCCATCACCTTTTAGTAAGAGAAGGCGTAAACTGTATTACTAGCTGTAATTTACCTATGCCACATGCAGCATTCCCTGCTAATGGAGTGTACAATACCAGTCATGACCAGCTTGACCCAAGTCCAGCCAAAGTATTGTCTATGTATTCTGCGCAAGTTTCAATCTCTAATATAGAGACTTCCTTGGAACCAAGCATCCTGTTGCTTCACCCTGTCAATAGGAGTCATGTATTATATAGTGAGGCATACCGAGGATGTTATTAATTATAATAGCTGTGAAATATGTTTATTAACAAATAATTCACAGAGGGAACGTGAAGTTCATTAATCTGAAACTCATCTCCTCTTATAAATACTGTACGTGTTGGCGGGTATAATTATTTTGATGAAACTATTACAGCCCTCTTGGTTTAGAGTCTAGACAACCAGTTTTGTCAAGAGACTGTGAGTTCGAGTCCTGCCCTAGGCACAAAAGCTGCCTGGGTGACCTTGGGCCAGTCTTTCTCTCTCAGCCCAGCTCATCTCAAAGATGGTTGTTGTTGTGGGGAGAATACAGTAGGACGAGGAAGGAATATTAGTTAGGTGTGTTCACTGCCTTGGAATTATTTATAAAAATAATAAAGATGAGATATAAATAAATAAATACCACTTTATGTTTTACATAAACTCTGGAGCAGCCTTTGGTAAATTTCACCTTGAGAACTTTGGCACATAGTAGGATATTGACTGAACTGAGTTTTAGGAAAATGTAAATAATTTATAGATAGAACCTTTCAGATTCATTCGAGATGACTACATTGTCTCCCAAATGTCTTAAAAGTCACTCAGATATCTGGATCCATTTACAGCTTTTTTAGTTTAATAACTCTTGAATGCATTCTTTTATGAACTGTTTCTGCAGCTCCAATAAAATTTAACTCAGAAAAGCTAGTCTGTGGAGAATGTTCACTGATGATATTTATCTCGAAACTAAAATTGAAAACCGAGTAAGTATTGAAAGCTAAACATATATAAACAGACTATTAGTACTCCCTCATGCATTCCATACTGCATTGTTGTTTAAATGAGGCAAGAAAGGGTTACGAATATGTTCCAAAATCTAAAATTAATGCTATCTAGAATAAAATAAAGCTTTGTCCAATATTGTTTGTACAGTACTTGAGATATCTATCCTTATTTTGTTCTTGAAGTGCCCTCTCTTGGTTGATCTGTGCAATTTCATTACTATTAAGAAAAGTAGGTAGTTGCATGCCTTATCTTTTCATACACACATAATGAGATTTGTAGGAGAAAAACGTCAGTAGATCATGTTGTGTGAGGGATGCAGCAAAATTATATACCACATTCTTTCCATGTAGAAAAAGAGAAGATAATACAATAAGATTCTGTACTCTTAATCTGCCAATTAGCTGCTTGACTGCTCATACTAAAATGGATCATAAAAAATAAATATGTTCCTGTCTCCAAAAAAGCCTACATACTAAGGTGTGTCAGGGAAATAGATTTTTGTGCCTCTTAGGATAAACATCTAATGGTTGAATGGTTACATATATATTGTTTAAAAAGTTCAGTAAAATATTTTCATTGTAAACATTCTACATACTCTTTGAAATATTGACTGTCACATAATGCATGTAATATTGTTGGTTTAAAAAGAGTGTCAAAAATATCTTTTGATATATTGGCTTTTTTTAATATCGATAGTACTGGGGATTTTCATAAACATTAAAATCCAGATTTAGGAAAATGTTTTCCCTGTGTATATAAAAGATAACGTTAGGATAATAAATTGAGAGATTAGTTGGGACTAAATATGTTTTAATATGAGTAGGACAGCTGCTTAATTTTCTTTCTTATTTTAGCATCTGTTATATTTGTTCATAATCTCTTGATTTTGATGCATGAATTTAAACAACAGAGAGATATTGTTCACAAAATGCTAAGTATTATCTGAGCAAATTATACAGTGTTTGGACATGTATTTTGCACCTAAATTATTTATAGATATTTTAGACTGCATTATTTGCTTAGTTATATATTTTAGCATCTTTATTTAGGACCCCATCAAAATAGTTTGGAATAATTAGCAATAGTTTGGTTTCCTAAGGACCTAACTTGTAACTGCAATTCATCTCTTCATAAAAAGTTCTTAACCAGTGTTCTTATAAGATAATCATATAGCTATCAATACCTATAGTAAAGTATGTTAGAATCTCCATTGTTCAGAACTATTGTTAAAAATTATAGTTTTAATTCACTGTTGCCCTTTCAAAAGATGGCTTATAATTCTGCCTCTTGTGTGCTAAGTGGAGTATATTACCAAGATGTCAGTGAATAATCCACAAATAAAAAGAATGCTTAGAGGCTTTTTAATAACAACCGAATAATTATGAAGGCAAATTGGTAGGCTGATGGCAAAGTTCCCAGTGATCAGAGTGATATGGTTGGGTTTTATTGACTGATGGAGGTTTTAAGAACTAGCATACCGTTCTCCTCCTCCACTCCCAGGTATATGGCTTACAATGTTCAGTCAACTATGGGGGTCAAAAGCATTCCAATCCTTAATGGGACCCACAGCCCATCTCGGCTGAACCTTCTGAACCATTCTGGCAGCCATCTGTGCAGCACAGGTGACTTGGCTCAGTTAGTCTACCGCCACTTCTGCCTGAATTGCAGTGTGCGTTGGGTGTATGTGTAGCCTCCGTACTGTGCCGTCTGCAAAGCTTCTTGGGATAAGAAGTTCCATTGTAATCCATCCATTGAATTTTTTTTCTGAGATTCCAATGACAAAAAGCATTTGTTGAGCTATAATACTATTAATGTAAAATATAGGAAAAAAATGGTTGTGAGTGAAATGTGCAAGACGTTTGGACTTAAAATTCACGCTGATAACAGCTGTCGTTTTTCCTAAATCATGGGACATATTTGTAAATAATAGAATCCTATTCTAACTTTGAAGGTTTAATGCTCTGTGCCAAGTGTAATTCTTATAAATAAAAGTCACTTGTTTATAGACATATTCCCATATTTGTTCCTGCCATTCAATGGGCATCTTACCGTTAAAACTGAGAATTTTGCAAATTGACTTTGACCCCCCAAAATTAACCATTTATTTTTATCAACTAGGGAGCTTTGTATTAGGGTAACTTTTAACAACAGGATTTTCGTTTTGTATCACCAGTGTTTCCAGTGCAATTCTTGCATTTCTGGTTCAGTTCAGGAATACGTTTAAAACTTCTGAGCCAACTCAAGACTTGATGCTGTGGCTATCAAAAGTCAGCTTAGCTGTACTCTATTTTCCAGGGCATACCTCTGCATAACGACTAGTATAACTTTACAAAGTTTCTATAGCAGGGATCCTCAAACCTGGCCACTTGAAGACTTGTGGAAATGGCTAGCTGGGGAATTCTGGGAGTTGAAGTCCACAAGTCTTCAAGTGGCCAAGTTTGAGCACTCCTGCTCTATAAGTTACCATCAGTTCAGTGATGAGATTTGAATTCTGTTAGCATACAACCTTTCCTTAATAATGTCTTCAATCTGGTTTGGGCTGTTCAAAAGCCAAGTTATCTATTTTATGGGGATCTACTATTGACCACCTAATGATGACATGTTTATTAAACATGCAATTCAATG